ACTTATTATAATTAATTAATGTATTTGTATTTGTTGTCAATTTTGATGGATATTATTATTGTTAGTAGCCTTTACGGATAAAGATTTTTACTAGAACAGTAAGCAGTAATTGCATTGTATGAAAAAGTATAAAGAAATAAACAAATTGTGAAATAATCTTCTAATATTATTATTAGTTGTTAGCTAAAGCGCTACAAAGAATCTAACAAGTTCACAAAGAACTTTTAAGAATAAAGTGTATTTTATAAGAATAAAAGAAGTTTATCAAGAACTAAATGAATTCATCAAGAATTCAAAGTATTTGTAAAGAGTTTTTAAGAAAGACAGAACACAAAGTTCTTTAATATTTTTAATGAATACTTCACTAAGAAGTAATTTAGATTCATCAAGAATCTTTATTATTGTTCAAAAAAAGAAAACACAAAGTAATCAATTCTTTTAACGAATACATAGTAAGTTAGTTATTATATTTATTTAAAGAATAAACTTTATTAACACTAAGTTAATCAAAAGTTATCTATCTTAGACTTCTTACTACTTTTTTAGCTAAGATACATGCTATTTTTATAATAATTATTTATTACTCAATCTTCTTAATCTAAAACTAATCTATTCTATTTAGAATAAAATATAACATGTGTTTTTCATACTAATAATAATATGAAAATAATATAAACTAGAAACAAATAGTATAAATCAAAAATGAATAATATGAAATATAAATGATATAAAATATAATAATATGAAATATAAAAGTTATAAAATAAAATAGTATGAAATATAATGAAATTAAAATGAAATAGTATAAAATTTAAAGAATTAGTATGAACTAAAAAGGATTATAATTTATAGATCATATATTTACTAATTATCCAATAGAAATATACTATAAATAATATAATATATCTTATATCAGGTGCTAAATTTATCACATAGTGACAATATGAAGTTTTTGATCCAGTATTTGCTTTTATAATTCCATTAATAATATTTTTTTCTTTTGGAATTATTTGAATATTGTTTTTTATAATTTGACTTTTATTGTTGATATTGATGAATTGAAAGCTTTAAGAGTTTATGATTAACTTAATATCTGGATTTTGAGTACATAATTTATCAAATAATTTGATAATCAATTGAAAAATTTTATAAGAATACTTTCTTATGTGAATAATATTAAGATAAATTTATTAATTATTATAAATAAATTATATCAATTGAAATAATTTTCAGTTTTAATTTTAATAAAGCTTATTCTTTATTTATTAAAGATCTAAAAAGCTATAGTACAAAACAGAAATATTTAAATATATAATTAATATTTAACAAATTACAAATAAATTAATAATAAATAAAGAATAAATTATTGATTTTAAAGGTAATATGTCTTCAAGTTATGTTGTACTTGATTAGATATATATGAAATATAAATAATAATATAAATATTAATAAAAATAATTAATACAAATTTAAAAATAATAAATATGTATGAAATAAAAAAATGAATAATGTGTATTTAAATTAATAATATGATTTATATTTTATATCTAATTTATTTGGTGAAATATTAAGAAGTATTAAAGATAGATCTATATTAATTTCTTATATATTATACGAAAAAATGATAAATATAACACAAGAAATAATAAATATGATACAAGAAAATACAAGAATATATGAAAATTATTATAATTAATAATATTTAAATATAATAAAATCACTAAAATCTCTCTTTTGATTATATTACTATAATCAGAGTTGATTATTTGTATATTATAATAAATAAATATATAATAAAATAAATATAATATTTAATAAAATATATTAAAAACTTATAAATAAATAATTAAAATTTTGAAATTTAATTTAATTCAATTTGAGTTTAATTTAGTTTAAACTTTGAATCTTTTTTAAATATATCAAAAAATGTGATTTAAGTTCAGTTTGAATTTAATCTTTTTTAAATATATTAAAAAGTTCAATTTGAATTTAGTTCAAATCTTGAATTTTTTTGAATATATCAAAAAATCTAATTCAAATTCAATTTGAATTTTAAATTTTTCTTGAATATATTATTATAATTATATTATAAAAACTATTAATTTGTAATATTTTACAAAATTATAAAAATTATATATAGAATTTAGAATACTTTTTTAATTATATTATATATTATTAATTATTATATTTATTTATTTTTTACTTTTATATTTTTTTATTTTTATATTTTTTTATTTTTATTTTTCTATTTTGTATTATTTTTATTTTTTTACTTTTATATTATTAACATATTTATTATTATCTATTTTTCTATTTTTTATCTATTTATTTATCAATTTTTCTATTTTTTTACTTATTATTTTTCTATTTATTTATTTAATAAAATATATTTTAGCCAATTATAAATCTTCAAAATATGTACATATTTATTTATTTATTTTTCTCTTTTTTTTATTTTTCATATTTAGTAAATTGGAATTTTATTTTTAATTAGTATATTTATCTTTTATATTTTTTTCTTGTTTTTAATATTATATTGGTATTTATAGAAAATATATAAATACAAATTATAGTTGAGTTTTGATTCAACATATTAAAACTTAATAATAAAATATCTAGCTTCTTAGTTGTCTAATGTATAAATAAACACATGAAAAGATCTTGTTTCGATTATGAATCTTATACTCGTATATTATCACTACTAAGCAACTGATTAGATTTTTATTGATAGACATTACTAAGCAAAAAATTTCCAGTGAGGCAACTTTACATATAACCTTTAAATCAACCTTTAACATTAATATTACAGTAGAATTTTCCGGGATGATCCCAAACCAGGCACAGATTCAAAAAATCCACACGAAGTTACTACGAAAAAATAGTAATAAGAGTCACTCGGCCCATTATGAGGATTAAATACCAAAATCTTTCAATAACGTGGTGAAACCTAGGGCACCAACATACAAAGCTCCTTAACAAAAGATTTGTGAGTTTTTGTCGTCGGAAAATATCACCAATAAACGATAATAATTTATTAACACGATATTGTTACATGTATTTAAACCGTAATAAACTAAGTCCCGATAAATCTGGAAATTCTAAATACTGGAATTCAAAGCGTTAAGGCGTGTTATTTGACCAAAGACATATCCGTGACGCAGCCGAATATCAAAACGGAAATCTGGCTTATATATCAAGGAATCCTACAAGTCAATAATTTGAAAAAAGTTTACAATACGATTTTTTTTGTCTCACCTTTGGATCGAACATCATATGTCGTATCGCAATCAATCTTTACCCTTCCATTTTCACTTTTGCGCTTCAATGTTAGAGTTCTTTTTTTATTCGCTGCATAAAATGCGCGCGCGTCTTGGAATCACCCTTATGCACTAGCAGGCATAATGGGAAGTTTCCCTCTGATTATTGTAAAAATTGATATAATCTACGCTATCTTTTACCTTCCTGGCGAAGATAGATGGGTAAATAATTATCAATCATTCGTTTCAATTTTAGTTATAGAAATTCAAAACTTTAATATTACCTAAATACCAACTATTACGCTTGCCTCCAATCATTCGTTAAACATGCTCTCAAAGAAATCGTCTTCTGCTGTTGGCAGTGGCTGTTGCTGCACATTCTGATTGTGATAATACTCTGTTCTATCCATTAATACACTCGCAGTTCTCTGAAGCGTACCACTAGTAGAAGCAGTCAATTGTTCTGATGATCCAAAGCATGTATTGATGATAGTAGAATTTGTCGACAATAAAGGAGAAGGTGTAGTTGAACAGATTGACTTCTCCTCAACTGGACTAAAAATATCTTCAAAATCGTCAGAACCTGTACGATTAATTTCATGTTCTTTATCTGCAAATTGCCGCGATGACCAAAAATTATGGTCTATATTTTCTTTCGTTTGGTATTCTTCATTTTCTTTCACGTCAAATATTTCGGGCGAAACAATAGTATCAGACCACAAGTCATCATCTTCTTCCTTTTCATCATTATCGTCCTCGTCGTCATCAAATTGACATTCTTCGTTTTCTACAATGAAATCATCGTGTCTATCGTCAAACAAATCGAAAATTAATTCATTATCATAATTATCTTCAATAATTTCTTTGCTCGATTCATTCCCAAATAAATCATTGAATTTTTCATTGTCTGACTCGTATTGAAAACTATTGGATGATGCTTCAATTTCCATGATTTGAACTTGTTTAGATGATGATGTTTGAGATTTTGCGAGTTTTGTCGATTTCACGTCGAGCGTCTTGTGACAATGCTCCTTTAAAGCCAATTCATAATTATCATTTGATACTTCGTCCTCGTTTGAAGACTTCAGAAAAAGTTAATTCAAATTCGAAAGAATAAATAAGAGACTGAGTCATCAACTATCGGTTACCTCATGAAACAATACAGTTGGTACTTTTAAATTATAAGCAGCTGTATATAATGCATCACCCAAGATATCTTTTATCGATATTTGCGTGTCAGTTGTGGATAATGACAAATCGAGATTATTTCGTATTTCCTATATGAAATTTTTACATGTAATTAGAAGAAATATACAAAAAATTGTAATTTATAAATAAAATCACCTCGAGATATTCAGCCGCTTTTGACTGAAATTCAACGTTTGGACTATTTTGAATTATATTTGTAAGGGAATTCGAAATATCGGGGATATATTTTGTGATTTTTTCTAATTTCTGTTAAATTTAATAGAAAATAAATGGATTTGATTTCACTCGATTATAGCTATTATAAAACTCTTCTTACGGTTTGATAGGCCGGAGAAAAAATCAATGGATATCTTTCAACCAACAAATTCCGCATTAAGCTTCGGAACGCAATATCTATAGCCATTATTTCAAATGCAGAAAACTCTCGTTTCTTACTCTCCAATTTTCGGCGTAACGATACTACGTGTGTGAATCGGTAGCATGTGTTAAGAAATAATATAAACGATAGATACACATATATATTCATAGAATCAACAACAAATAAAAAGGATATCCGTTGCCACCCAATTAAAAGCAAAAGTCAATTGAGATAGAGTTCCAAAAGGTCGTCGATCAGAAGCATGTGGAATGCAGCAATTTTCGGATGCAAAAACCCAATAGCCTAGGATCAGGATTTTTTGTCAGAATTCAATTTCTAAATTAACTGCAAGCATAAATAAAAACTCACGTTTATTGTATTGCCTTTTTTGCTCGACGATCGGTGAAATATCAGAGAATCCAAATTTTTTCCATATCTTTAATTTGAAAATAATTATCTTCGAATCATTTCAATTAACAAGAATCGGATATCGTCTAAAAACAAAAATTTGATTTGAATACCTCTGAGCGACACATTCTCTTTAAAATAATATTTTCTTTTCTCGAATTAAGACTAAACAATTTACCATCAATTCTGTTTATCAAGTGTTATGATAAGTCAAGGGATCAAAAACGTAGGAAATACGCGTATAAAAAAAACCGCAAAAAAAAAACAAATTATCTCGCCCGACAAAAAGGATATATCAACACAAAATTTTCCACCCGACATGATCACCTCCATTTTGCCAATGTCACTTTCGCAGAGTTTTTGCATTTTAGGAGGTAATTGAATGTTATATTGAATTTGTTGTATACAAGTGACTTTAAGTATATAGAAACTTTGTTGCTGTGAAAAAGCAGCAGTAGTTGGATACTTCAGACTGTCGGAAGTTAACGAAATTGTCGAAATTCGCTCGACCGTGTGGTTTGGAAGCGTCTGCGTCGCGACGTCTTGCTTGTGCGACATAGCTGCGGCGAAGAGAGAATTTATCGTTATCTGATATCATAGATTTTTGCTGTTAATATCGATTAAAATAGAGTATGATAAACCTCATCCCCTCGAGTCATGTGCCCACGTGAATGAATACAATGCGCATATAATCTGCCATAGAATATATACGAAATATTTATCGAGTTTCTTTTATTATATCAAGATTTTAATTACATCAAGAGTTCGTTACATCAAAGATTGAATATTTATTTTATCATTATTTGCACCATTGTTTCTTTTGGATATTGTGATTTATTTTCTTTAAAAAAGATGATGGCATAAAGACGTCTGTTTGGGAAGGAAGAAATTCGCTAATTTTTGTTATCTGTATGCTTTTGATTTTACATTGTTGTTGTTGTTCATTTTGGTATCTAATGTATAAGAAGAGGCGCTTTAATAACGATGACAACCAAAGTGAAATTGCTCCTAATAATGATTTTAATAATGATCTTACAGAAGATATAGAATTAGTTATTGCTGTGAGAGCAATGGATAATTAAAAAAGTTCATACCTTTCTAAAAATTAGCGATTTTTTAAGGGAAATCTCTATCATTGTTATATCTTTCTTAATACCTCTTATTGTAACAATATCATTTTTGTTTTTAAAATATAATTGTATATATAAGATTACCACAAGTTTTATATCTATACTGAGTGTTAATATCTTTTAAAAATTATTTTCATGGAATTTAAGAGACTTTCTTCATTAACTTTGCTAATAAATTTATTATTCAAGCATTTTTTTCCAATAAAATCAATAATAATTATTTCTCACATCCTTTTTAATTATACAAATAACTTTAATCTTAATACTTTAATTAATATTTTTGAATAATTAGTTTACTTAAAGATTATTTCGATTCTTAACTAATAAAAAGAAACAATATCTAAAAACTAGAACTAAATCTTGAAGAAATTGTTATCTTTTAATCTAATTTTTTCCTTATTTAGAACTTTAATATCGATATCTCTTCCGTCATATACAATAACGTGATCGGGGACACGACTAATGCAGTAACGTGAGAAATTCTGATCGTGTCATAACTACATCATAGAATATTGATAACGATAGTATAATATTTCAGGTTCTGCCTCCATCAAAAGAATATGAAACATTTATTAGTAAAAATTTCAAAAATTCGCTATATAGGGAATTTATTAATAAGTTCGTTATATCAAGGTCTTAATTATAATTCATTACATAAGAATTCATTACATCGAGATTTGAATATGTATTCTATTTTTTATTATATTAAACAGTTACTAAATTTTATGTCTATAGTCTTATTAATATTCTCAGTATCATTCGCGCTACTGGCAGTTTTGGCTACAGGGATTTATGTTCTTGTTATTTCTAACCAATTTTCATCTGTTTGGAAAGCAATAGTTTTTGGTGTTATTGCAATTTGTTTTTTTCTTTTTCATTTATATTGTTTTTGTTGGTTACTTTATCGTTATTGTCAACTTCGTCCTAATAACAACCCAAATGAAATTGATATTACTGTTCCTAGTAATGATTTTACAGAAGATATTGAATTAATTATTGCTGTAAAAGCAATGGATAATTAAAGTTCATATTTTTCTAAAAATTCAAGAGAAATTTCTTCCCTTTATCATTTTTATATATTCATTTTGACTTAATACTTCTTACTAGCTGAATTATTAACAATACTTTCTTCTGAAATTTTGATTAAACATGAAGAACAATATAATCTTTATAATTCTTAAATTTCACAAAGCAACTATAATTAATAATTAATTATTATTTTGTTTTTTTCTGTAATTGTAATTCATAATGAAATACGTATACATATAAATTTTATTTATAAGAAATATCAAAATTTCGCAATATAAACTTATTTTTCTTATTATTATTTTCAATAAATCAATAATAATTAGATTCTATGCTCTTTTTAAATTATGCTAATATTATGTAAATGATTTTTAATATTTTTGGATAATTAGTTTATAATCAATTCTTTTTATCAGATTCAATTCTAAAAATATAATTATATAATTATATATAGTGTGATTTTTTTTGGTGAATAAGATTATAAAAAAATGATTTTATTATAGTTAATTATTGAAAAGAATATAATAGCAGAAAGTTTATATGATGTAATTATAATAAAGAATTATTAAGATATTTAATATTTAAAGATTAAAATAAAAAACTTATTTCAACTTTTCTATTAATATTTAATATACAAGAATAGCAATTTATTCAAGATTTAATTCTAGTTTTTAATTACAAATTACTTTATCTTTCTTTTCATAATTAATTCAGTCTATATAATTAATAAGTACTCATCCTGTTTTGTCTTGAATATATATATTATTTATTTAATTATATGTTCTTGTCTTAAAATTTATATGTCAAAATAACTGCTTAATACTAACAGGAATGGAAATTATGATTGAAAAAGTTCAAGAAAATAAGAATCTTAACGTTTAGAAGTCGACTAAATTAGCTTTCACAGGTACTTTTGATTCTTTAGTTTACAATATGCTTGTCAGAGTCAAATGATATAAAAAGTAAGTGTTGGTTACAATGTAACTTAAAAGTCTCAATCACTGGCCTCGATAAACAAAAAATTTTTCCTCGTAAATAAATTATACTCTACTTTTTCCCTTGCTTAATTATTATAATATTTATCAAAAAAAGAGCAGAACGAAGTATTAACTTATGTACAAGTTGTTACTTAAGCAGATGAAATTATTTCCTTCTTCCTTTCGATTTGAAGCTAACAGGCCAAATTTATATCAATAAAACAAATTAAAGAAATTATTCAAAGTATTAAATAGACCAGTTATTTTCAGCAAACTTTTATCCACACTTCTTTGCAGAATGAATTTGGTTTGGAATTTTAGGCGACAGTGTGCTAAATTTTTCTTTTTTCAACAATTAATGGTACGAGAAAGCACCTTGGCTTAAGCAATCGGTTTAGCGGAATTTCTCCCAATTAGGAGCCATCGAGAAAAAAAAATGACGGTGCTAAAAGACGAAAAGGCTGTTTACGAATTTCTTAGTTAACCCTTTTCCCTTGGGTTAAAAACAAAATATAATTTGGGATTACAAAAGCGAATTACAAGTCAACATGAATTAATCACTATCGCTATGTATTGTTATACTCACCAACGTCAACTCGTGAATCGCGCATATTGAAATTATTTATATTATATTGATTATTGCAGGCGCGCGTGAAATGATTGATCACAAGTTCGCTCTTCTTTTTTTGGAGTGAACAATGTATCCAAACAATAACGATAAAAATAAAGCGACGAGTTAGGATTTACATATCGATATCAAAAAACAAATTTTGAACCTAAAATGGGAATTACGATCTTAGTGTTAGGTGTTTATCAAGTGTTTATCTACAAAAATTACTGGTCCGGAGTCGTAATAAGATATAATCCTCGGAGCGTTTTACTATTCTTGGTAACCATTTATTTCATCCAGTTCATAGTAATCAACTTTCTATATTTAGTGAGTCATAAGAAAAGAGAATGCAGATTTGATGTGTTATGTTAAACTCGCTTCTATTTAAGACGAATACACATTTATCTCATACACAAAACATACCCCACATTTTTCGAACATTTTTCTTCTCTCGTTGTTTTTTTTTTGCTCGAGTAAATTAAACCACAAAAGAATAGTAGTAGTATTAATAATGCATCTACCTAAAAATGATTTCTCAACAACACCGTTACAGTTCACCCTTTTAATAACCTTCATAGATTTTCCAGTATTCACGGCTTACTTTCTAATGCTAACAATCATAATACTCGATCAAATACTACTACTAAACCTCTCACGACGACGAGCGCGAAGAGAAAATGCACCAGACTCTGAAACGCCACTATTGTCCGTTTCGTCGACTACGTCATTAATATCGTTTAACTTGATTCCGAGCGGGCACAGTTCCTACTTTATCGCTTTAGCCGGGTTTCTGTCACTTTGCGCACCGTTGTTGAGTCTTTTTGAGATTTACGATTTGCCTTGGGCTATTGGTCGTATGTTGGGATGGTTCGGCTTATTTTTAATTGTTTTGGGGTATTTGTTTCGTGTGTATTCTATTAATGATAAGTGGTCGACGAGGACTGTTGTGGTGGAAAATGGTTTAGTTGTTATTGGTAACGGTAAGGATTTTTTATTAATTACATTATTGTTCGAAAAATCAACAAATAAACCGGGAAAAAAAGCCGTTCTAAAAATAGAATTATTTGGCATCAGGTGATTTAACGCCGTTATTCATTTTCAATATATAGGACCATATCGTTATATACGCCATCCTGGATACACTGGCCAGATAATTGCATGGATAGGATTCGCACTCAGTTCGGGGGATCTATCAGTCATCATTATAATCTTGAGCATGACTTTGCTTGCGTACTGGCATCGAATACGTGTTGAAGAAGAGACAATGGTTGAGAAGTTCGGCGACGAGTATCGTGAATATCAACGGTCTACTAAGAAATTGATTCCATTTATTTATTGAATTAATTCGTCCGTTTAATTTTTTGTGAACTATTTATGACTTTTTTTATATACATATATACAAATATAGAAATTTATTTTTATTCATCTATTTAATATGATTTTAGTTAACTAGGAAGTATAGGATTTGATCCATTTATTATTTCCATTTGTATTTCTGTATATCACCGATTTCTTTTTCTTTCTCCCCCCAATCAAAGAATGTGTGAAGTCGAGATTTCAACTGTACTTTTATTTACAAAGAAAAAACCTATTAGATACAGATAGATAGATATTGGTCGTATTTGTAATGATGATAATAAAAAGGCCAACTACACAATATTATTATAATAATAATAATAAGAATAATAATAATAATAATAACAATCTGAATTCAAATAATACTCTAAACAATAATGTTAATGAATGACGCTGGAAAAAAATATTTATCGTTTTTTCGCAGGTCGTGGCTTAACATCATCATCTTTTACAGCGTGCAGGAATATTGAATCTTTCATTTGTTGTGTTTGGTAGGTTGGTTGCTGATATCCCTAAATGATTCGCAAATTATAAATATCTCACGTAAATTTCTCGTAAACAATCATGATAAATCAACTGATTCACTATTGTTAGTTACTAATGACAATTACCTTGCTCCAATCATATCCAGCAGCATACGCAAAAATAGACCCATTCCGATTAAACGTCGTCGCCATAATTGGACAACCGATGCTCGAGAATCCTTTAAGTCGTTGTTTGGAGTCTTTGTCCCAGAAATTGAAAGTTCCGTCGCTGCCGGCCGTCGAGAACGTTCCGTGAAGCGGGTGGAACGAGATTGCGTTCACCGCGTAGACGTTTACGTTGTTTTCACGGTGGCATTTGAATGAGAAACTTGTTGTTCTGTGTTATTAATGATAATTATCCATCAGTTAATCATCAGAATATAATCTCATCAAAGCAAATTTAGTTTTTGCTTACTGATTATCTTTTTCATCTAAATACTGTATTCCTACTCTCCCTTCGATACTTCCGATCGCATATCCATTTGCAGCAATAAAACATGCTACTGTACGTGTTTGCCATTTTAGTGGGCTTTGTGATTGCTAAATTTTATTTTTATTTATTTTTTCTTATGAGAAAATGATCTGAAATCCGATCTCAAAAAAAAATGAAACAGCTAACAAACCTTAAACACCGTACCAGGATTTCGCATATCGTAAATCATGACGTGTCGTTCAGCAGTAGCCGCAACCATCAACGGGAAAATGAGATCCATGGCGTAACACCGTTCGGGAAGGCTGACATTTAGAACTGGTTGTGGCGTGCGTAGATCCCAATACTAGTTATTGTTTATCATTATTGTTAAGTTTACGGATATAATAATACAGATAGTAAATTTGAGACACGTTTTCATAAAAAAAGGAGATGGGTTAAAATAATACACATACCTTTAATGTTTTATCCCAACTTCCAGTCGCGAGAACAGATGTAGCACCACTATCCACCCATTTTATACATTTAATCGGCGCGTCATGTTGCGCGACTTGCATTGCTTGTCCGGTGGCCGTGTCAAACATACGACCTGCTTTATCAGCACCACCCGAAAATACTTTTGTACCATCCTAATTTGAAAATAATTCGCATCAGAAACTCGAAACATTTTCAATTTAAAAAAAAAATCAAACAAAAAAAACCTAGAGTAATCCACAAACCTTGCTCCATGTACAACATAGTGCTGGACCCTCATGCGGATATAAAGCTTTGCCAACAGCAGATCCTGCAGCCTGGTTAACCTCGTATATTCTAACCTTCAGAAAGAAGAACGTGTTATTTAATTTTCAAGCTTTTTGATTTGCTTCGCTAAACTACGCGTACCATGTAGCTTAGTCACTTCGATCGTGTCATGTTACCTGATTATCCCATGACGAAACTGCCAAATAGTCGGCTATTGGCGAAAATGCTAGTTGCGTTATTCCGTCAGTTGGTGGTGTCGGAATCTTTATATACGTGAAACAGAAAAACAATGATGAGGAAAAGATAGTAAAAAAAGACGGCAATGAGGAATAAGGTGTTCGTTTGTTTCTTTACCGCATAGTCTTTAGGCGTTTCGGTGGTGAGTAAATTCCTGTTGAATGCAGACATTTTTTATTATGAAAATTTGATGTCTTGGGGTAAAGGGAAACTGATAATTCTAGAGAATGTTATTAACTAAACGCTTGTTAAGAGTATATAATATGATCAGCGTATACGGTAATGTTGAAAATTCTTGATCCGGTTGAAAATTGGTAAATTTGAAGACGCGGCTTTATAAATGGGTGACGACGCAGTACTGGGTGTTACATATCAATAGAATAACAAAAATAACAAAGCTGTGTGCTGTATACCAAAAATGGAAAAACTTATGATCTAAATTTTTAATGGGAAATCTCGAAGAATATAATGGCCATCTGTGCTTGTTTTTCTTCGCAAAATTCTCGATTAACAACTTTAAAAAGTATTTGAAATGAATTTTGCTTGATCAGAATTATTTTTTGTCTTATTATACCTTTTCAGACACTTTTGCGTTAGGTTTCTTGCTCAATCTTGAAATATGTATTCAAGATTGGCATGGATTTTTATTAAATAGCTTTTTTTAGTTGTTGATGATGTGTAGGCAAATTCAAGAAAAATTATAATTCAGGAATATATTATATCATTAGAAACTATATTCAATGAGGAAAATGGATCAACAATATTATTGGTCACCCAACTAAAGATCTATACACACCCTACCGTATAGCACTGCATAAAGTATCCTCCCTGTAGAAACTTTTAGAACTAACTAGTAATGGCTTTGAGGTTAAATTAGATAGAAAAGTTTTTACGGGGGGAGGGTCCTTATCAGTGTTGATGAAATAATCCTCCAATTAGCAAGTTTAGAATACCCTGATGACGCAGCAAAGTAACATGAGATGCGCAGTACGCAGTACGTATCGAATATTTCATTCCGGCTAAAAAACTCGTTTTTTCACAAAATACTAGTACATATTCGGATCGATCCATTGTCCCCGGCAAACTAGTTTCACGATCATGCAGGGAATCTGCATGCTTAGCACAGACCGATGATTACTGAAATAGGAGTGATGGGATATCGTAAACCTTTTTATATATAATCTCTTGAACTTTTCTGTCCCATATTAACGGTTTTTTTTTTGAATTCTCACATACTCAATATCTACACATATACATAAAAATGAGTTGTTTACTTTTAACCTTGGACTACATTAGAGACCACAAAAATACATCTAGTGAAGAAGCTATTCAAGGTGCTTTTTTTTATTTCATTTATGGGCACAAATTGATACTTTTCCGCAGTAAAAAGAAAATTACCATAACATTGTTTATTGTTTTCTTATCGCTTATTTGTGCTCAAAAAAAGCAATCATACAACAACTGACAACAACAAACCTACACACAACAACTGCACAAACTGCATCAGCGACAACCTGCGCATGTTTCATTCTGAGACACAACATATACATGCACCCCGAAGAAGACGAGGAACAACTTGAAAGACTACACTCGCTACACCGTCTACTACAAGACGTGGAAAAAACCCGACGAAAAATAGCACAAGATTGCCTTGTGCGCATATTCCAAAAAAATGTCGCTCAAAACACGGTGGTGCGCGCACAAAAAGAAAATAGTGAAATGATAGAAACCTTTGAGTATCTGATGGGTGCATTGAAACATGAGGTATGTATTAATTGTTTGTTTTTTTAAAGCTTTGGTTATGTGTATGAATAATGTGCTAAACAAAGATAAAGTTGGAATGTTGTAATAGATACTATAATAATGTCGATATTAACAATCATAATGGTTATATATACATATAATTGTCTTCATTTGTATTGTTATTGCTTTTTGACTAGAATTGATGCTCCATAGTTTTAGTGTTCGATTCTTCTTCTATTTGACCCGTTGTTAGAAAGATGCGTTCAATACAATACAGCACAAGAAAAGCAAGATTTGGTGGATGTAATAGATTGTAGAATCAAAAAAGTATCTTCTATAACTATATATAGAAAGATTTATGTACAAATGAATTATCAGCTTGACATATTAATAATCTTATCACCGAAACAAATAGATCATGATACAGGCGATGAAGGCAGACCTAAGTCCAACAAGTTGGCCCTGCACGCTTAACGAGCTATTTCCGGTCTTCCCAAATGGCAGTGCATCATCCTTGGAAAAAATAAAGCCACTGCATAGTTTTCATTTACTGCGACCGTATTTTATACGGCTATTTTCCGTGGTTGAGGATTTTATTGTGTCGCAGCTTTATCGGCAAGAGAACAGAACAAAGTCTGTAAGGTGAAAATTGTATCGTCTATTCCCTATTTATCATATTTCTCAATTTCGAATATCAAAAGAAAGCGTGATCTTTAATCCATTCTCTCATTGATAATGTCTTGATTGTAATAGCTTGGAAGATTGTCCCGAATTCATGAAAGCAGCAACAAAACTAAATCATGAAAAAATTTGCTCCATACTAATAGAATATTTGGATTTGTACCACGATCATATTAAAGAAATGTCGGAATACGTGAATCCGATTTTCGAAGAAATAGATAGACGAAAAGTAATGGATATATTAGATCAAGTAACGTCACACTTCAATTGCTTTGAAAATGAAACTCTTGAAATTCTTTACAATCTATTTATATAAACATAACTTCATGTACAATTTTGTATTGTATGTGTACAGGTGTCTAATTTTTGTGCTAATCGAAACCAAGAAGAGGATAACGAATAAATTAAAAAAGATGGATGAATATTTTTTTATTTTTCCACACGCACTCTTCCGGTTTGTGTAATTAATTAATTAATTAATCAGTAAGTTCTTAATAAAAGTTTTTGTGGTTAGTTTCTTCTTATTTTTGTTATTCATTATTAATAATAACGAGAATAATTGTATATAAAAAATATAGTACACAAATAATTTAGAGAAAGAAAAAATACAATCAATTAATTCAAAAAAAAGTTCATTTTTCAAAAAAAAATTCATCCACTTGACTCCCTGCTCGTGCTGAATCATTATTGTTGTTATTACTTGTAGTAGTTTGAGATACGTGATTATTATTGTCGGTATTATTATCTTTACTTGCTTCCTTCAGTAAGAATGATATCCACATATCCGAAAAAGACTTCATATTTGACGTAATACGTAAAAATATTTAATAAAATTGATAAAAAAAAATCTGGTAAATAATAAATTGCAAGATTTACCTCTTTGGGCCCTTCCTCATTCATCGGCAACAGCAGTCTACTATTACTTCTGGGCACTTCTTCCGACTTTCGAATAAGTGGTCGTTCCGACGTCGGTGTCCACAAACCAGACACCCAACCACTAGGCCGATCGTCAGGACTTAGACGCGATGACGGTGCCGATGATTTTCGAATTAATCCGACCTGCTCTTTTTGTTCGTCGGTCCATTGCAACATACTTGACATTAGTTGCAGTATCTCGAATCGTTTGCCATCTCCACGTGGTGTATTGAAAAATGCTATTAAGAGATTGGTGATAAGTCGTCTATAATAATTAACAAAATAGTAATGATTATTAGTAATTTGTTATTATATAATAAATAATTATCCTTCGAGCCATTATTTGACGTCCTTTTACTTCCATATAATTATTTTCGAGAAAACTGGTATATATAAAAACAATCATTCCAATTTCTCAAAAACTATTTGTCGGTTATTTCCATCCCCAAATTCGGCATTCATTCGGACGTTAAACAACGACTTGATCTGAATGTTCAATAAATCAATGTTAAATAATAGATTAACTTGTCAACATTATTATCGCTGGTTTCCTCTCTCATCCGGCGCATAGCTTCAGTCAAATGTTCATTCAATATCACAGCTATAATAATATTATTATGCATGTATATAATAAGTATGTGATAGGGATCAAGAATGATAAATTTCTTTATTTCGTATGCAATTCACCTTCATGACGCAGTTTACCAATTTGTAAATTCTTTTCTTTGATTTCTCGTTCGTATTGTTGTGTTTTATTGAATTCCTCTTTTATTTGCGAGAGTTGATTCTATTATAATTTTTTGAAATAATTTAATAAATGAATAGTTTTATGTTCATTGAACGAAAATTTTGTCTGACCTCTGCAAGTATTGCACGCTCTTTGTATTCTGATAACTCGCTAGTCGCAGTAGCAAGTTTTCGGTGTATTCCTTCAACCGCTTCTCGAATCTCAGATTCCTTCGCTACTCTCAATCAATCAATATATACGCGCGTAGAATCAATAAATAGATTATACCAACAAAATAACAATCAAACGAAGAAAAATTACCAGCTTGAAATTCCTCCAAAACAGCCTGTAAATTCGTTAGACTCTCAGACTCTGCCTCCTTCTCCGTCTTAATCATCTCCTTCTCATTTTTCAATATCTCAATATCTCTTTCTAAATGTTTTATGCGTGTATTTAACTCATCTTTTAATCCTTTTTCCTGCATCGCCATCATTTCCCATTCGCCTCGTTCTCCCTGCACACGCTCCAAATTCACCTGCAGCTCTTGGACTGCATTGTCTCTTTCGACCAGCTCTTGGGCTGATTGTTGTTGCATTTTGAACACTTGTGTTCGCAAGTGTTCTAGTTCTTGAATAGATTTTTCGTGTTCGTTACGAGAATTATTTAGATCTGACTGTAGTTTTGTGGTTGTGTTGCTGAGATCCTGGTTTTGCTGACGGAGATTTGCAACTTGTTGTCGTGCTTGTTCGATTTCTTCCTAATTGTAAGCCATGGAATTATAAATCAAACTTTGTGGAATTAAGATAATCTTTCTTTTTTAAATGATCATGTCGCTTACCATGTCCCCTTTAAGTTTATCAGCCAACGAAGTTTTCACAGCCGACAATTTCGCTAACAAACTTAGGTGCTGAGCTTCTAACTGCGTTTTTTCCTCTTTAGTCTGTTCCAATTGCGCTAGCAACTCCTCCTTCTCCCTTGTCAATTCTTTTACTTCTTTTTCAAAAAGCTGCGTTTTTGTATCCACTTTATCAGTATGTCCAACCGTCAAATTTTCCATTTCCTCACGTATCTTCTCAAGTTGAGCTCGCATACTTTCACGATCTTGGTCAACAACCGATTTCTGAATCTCCAAGGTTTTCACTTGTCCACGTAACTCTTGTACCAGCTTATCGTCTTTATCGGAAGACACTAAGTTTCGTTTTTCCAGTGTTTGCAGTTGCTCGAGTAACGAGGCACGTTCACTAGTCAGTTCATTGTTTTCGTTTTGTACTTTGGCTAGTTCCGTGCGTAAAAACGTTAACGCTTGGAAGATTGCTTGTTGGTCGACTACTAGTTGTTTATTTGTTTCTATGCCGTTCGTTGTAGTTGTTAAGCCGTTTGTGCCGTTTGCAAGCGGTGGTGTAGATGTGCCGTTTGCGAGTGGTGGTGAAGGTGATGTTTGTAAATCTGACATTATTTTTAGTTGGATAGATAATGTTCGAGCAATTAAAAATTTAAAAATTGCAACTTTATTGCGTGTGTTACAAAATATTAGACATTCAAATGTTTACGTTTAGTGATCGATAGCTTAAAAACCTTGATGCTAATAGTGAATCTGAATTTTCTCGGTTCGAAACATAGAAAAAGACATGTATGATACTATTGGTGTCATCGATACCTCTTTCCACAATCATGAAACATCAATAAAAAATATGGAAATGAAGATATTATTTCTTGTTGAATAATTACAATAATAAAGCCATGAGAATAATTTTATTAGAATTACTTCTGGAGTTTATTAATGCAATTAATTGTTATCGTTATTGTTATGAATTATCTTAATATATGAACAAAAATGTTCAACCTGAAAAGATATTAGATTATAACAATATGATAAATTAATAAAATAAAAATAATTGATATTTTATTATTTAAGATTATAAATTTTATATATAGTGACTAACAAATTATGAAGTCATATGTGTAATTTTATTAATAAATTGAAATAAATAAAAGTTTTCAATTTTGTTAATTACTATTTTTTTTTATATTAAAATAAAGATTATAAGTTATATTTGAACATATATTTTTCTGTATTTTTTAGATTTAATCTGACATGTTCTAATTGTTATTGCAAAATTTTTTTATATTTAATTATAACAAATTAATTAGATTATTTCTGGTTAATAAAAAGCTTATTCCTCTTCTTTTTTCATCTGATTTTTTTGGAATTTCTCAACCAAAAACATTGTAATCTCTTTTTTGCAAGAAGAACAAAGTAAAAAAGTCTTTGTTATTTTTGTTATTTATTTAGTTCTGGAATATTTAACAATTAATATAAAGAGTTAAAATATTATTTGTTAGTAAATTAAAATATTTTGTTTAGTAAGTACAATTAATATAGAGAATCAGAATATTATTTGTTAGTAAATTAAAATATTTTGTTTAGTAAGTATAATTAATATAAAAAATCAAAATATTATTTGTTAGTAAATTAAAATATTTATTTAATAAGTACAATTAATTGGAATACTATATATAATTGAAATTCTATTATTTTGTTCTTTAGATACTTTGATTTTTCTTTTAAACTAAACAATTTCATTAGAAATTAATATAAAACTTAGATAAATCTTTCTTGTTATTCTCATCTTTGTTTAATTTTTTTATTTATATTTATTAGCTAATTTTACAATTAGTGAAAAATATGTAATAATAGTTAATATTTTTTTATAAAATTTTGTATATCAAATCTATAATAACTAAAAAATAAAAGAAATAAAATTAGTATAAAATTTATAAATTTAGAATATATTGTTTTATTTTTGTGCATTTATATATTTATAATTATATATTTAGTCAAATTTAGATTTTTTTATTTATATATTTTTTAGATTTATTTTTATTTAATTTATTATATAATTAAATTTGTATTAATTTTTTGTAGTCTAAACTATATTTTATAAAATCTTAAAATATTAAGTGCACAAAAATAGATTCTTAATTTTATTTATATTATAAATTATTATCAAAAAAATATAAATATATTTAAAATTATATTTTGAATATATTTAAAATAGAGTTTTATAATAAAATTATTAGATATTAAGGAATATAATTTATAAATTACATATAAATTAACTATTCAATTAAGAAAAGTATAATAAATTATATGATATATTAAAATTTATATCACAACAATATGAAAGTACAGTTAAATTTCTTTATAATCATATCTATTTATAATTACACTCTCTATAGTCATTCTATTTTATTTTTTTATTTATATATAAATATAATAAAAAACTTTCTATAGTTATCAAATTTTGTTTTTTAAAAGTAATAATTATAGAGAAATTTAATTATATTTTAAAAAGATAATAGTAATTTTATTTATAATAATTCACTTTGAATTTATAATTAAATAATATTTATAATAAGATAATAAGATTTTCTTAAAAATAAAGACAAATATAAGACTTAATGAAAAGAAAATTTAATCAAAAAACTATATTTAATTTCAAATTAAAATAACCAAACTAAAATAAACTTAAAACAAAATTAAAAAAAACTTGAATTTTATTAATTATCAATACTTGTATTTATATATATTTTTATATTATATTGATATAGTAATATATAGTATAATACAACTATATAATATAGTAAATTTATACTATTATTATAAAATTATCAGTTTTCTTTAATTATATAAAAAGTTATTTATATTATACTTAATAATTTTGTTCTATATTAAAATATCAATAGCAAAAATAAAAAATTATATATGTAATAAAAATTAAACAAATATAAAAATGATAAATAAACCAAAAAAATTATATGATTAATATATTTAATTTAAATAATAATAAAATAAAAATAAAAAAATAAAAAATATCGAGAAAGAAAAAGAAAAAAATAGAATATTATTGATTGATGATGAAATTTAATATGTAATTTAGATGTTATTATGATTAATTTTGTCTTACTATATCTTTATTTATGTATTCATTATATTAAATCAGTAATAATATATAGTTATCAAAAAATTATTATAATGAAAATACTTTATAAAAATCATAAATAATTAGCAACTTATAATAATATTATATATAATAAAAATTTGTATATAAAATGCTTACATAAAGATTCTTGTATACTCAAAAATATTAGAAAAATTATATATAATAGAAATAGAAAATGCCTTTGAAAAATTTATTAATAATGAATTATCTTTAGCATAATATTATATAATAGATTATAAATGAAATATTTATCTTAATAATATAAAAATAAAAATAACTAATATTTACATTGTGTAAAAAATAGATCTCAATATTTCCTAGAAAAATTGTGTATAATAAAAATAAAAAATATTTTTCTGAAAAATTCATCAATAATAATTTGCTATTATTATGATATTGTAACAAAGATTAAGAATGAAATGTCCATTTTTTTATTATAAAGCATAAAAACACATTGTGTTAAACAGATTGCTTATAGTTAAATATCTTTCTATCTCATATTTTAATAACTATTCAAATTTACTATAAAAATATATCAAAAGCCATATATGATATACATCACTTTGTAAAGTTAAAAATCAAAATAATTAGTGTTCATTTTGTCATTTGCATAAATGTGAAATATTATGTCATGAAATTTTTCTAAATATCTTGGATTTCCATCAGAAATCATAGACCAGAATTCTTGAAAATCCCTGAACATCTAAAAGAACTGGAACTTGATATTTATTCTCTGCAATATGACTTTGCCATCGAAGTACAAGGAAAACAACATGAAAATATATCGAATTCTTTCATAGAGATCCCAATAATTTTATCAAATAGCAAGAGCGAGATCAACTCAAAAAAGAATTGTGCGAAGAAAACTGGATGTTTTAAGGTATGTTTGGTATTACGAAGCCCATATACAGTTATTTCGGAGCATCTTTAAGAATTGGGTCTTATTTAGTAAAATTAAAATTTTAATGCTCCATGATCATTACATGTGTATTGTTTTCGTGATGGGACTTTTTGCATAATGGGTTACATTCATTATTTTTCGTTAAATCTGATCTCTTTTTTATTATATGCATCATATATACAAATACACTAGTTGAAAAATCCAGAATGAATTATTTCGATATATAAATTTCTATTTGATTTTGAAATATTATCATAAAAGGATACCACAGCTATTTTTCCATCATCGATAACATTAAAAATTATTTTGAGCTCATCATCCGAGTTGTGTTCGTACATTATAAAATAAAATTGAATTGGTTGAAATGGTTTATAAGAGACAAAATTGTGTTGGTATGAAAGTTTAATTAGAAGAGCATTAATGTAAAAATCAATTAATGTACATGAATTCATTCATACTACCCTTTAATCGTTTTTCTTCACTTCTCTAAAAGCCTGAAATACGGAGACGAAAGCAATTTTACTTGACATTTCAATCGGATAATACTTAGATTTTATGTAATTTCTCTGATGATAAAGAAAATCGAAATTTTATAAGTGAATGTATTTCACTATTTTTTGCTTTGCTACTGAAAAAGATGTAAAAAAAGCTGGCTCTCAAAAGATGCGCAAATCTGCTGGGGACGTAGCCACGGACAGCGGGTCAAATGACGAACTGCCTGCAGTTTGCTTGGAGACGTAATCCTGCACCAGTTGAGTATAGCGAGAAAAAATACACTACTCGCCAGATATGAACACGCAAGCTTGCTGGGGACGTGACCACGGACAGCGGGTCAAATGACAAGCTATTGGTCAAATGACGAACTGCCTGCAAGTTGCTTGGAGACGTAGTCCTGTGTTCATATGCGAAAATGTATAATTGTAATACTTATGGAAGCTGGCCTGGATCTGTCTTACGGTTGTTCGGGCAATAAAAGGAAGGGCATATTGATTGTGTAACTCGGTTAAAGTGATCCCTTTGGACGCCCTAATAAGCATCCTTATGCACGCCCTCATAAATTCGCACAGCAATCAGTTGATATATTTTCCAATCGGAAAATCAGTTTTGAAACTATCGATCGATGGATAACAGATAAATGCATTTACTAATTTTCCCCCAGGTTTCTGATTGGTTGAGGATAATAAAGGTTAGTTATAGCGTTAGGATTAAGGGTAGGGTTAGGACTGTTGAGGAAAGGTTATATGTAAAATTGTCTTTCCGACATTTTTTATTAGTGCTTCAAGTCAGGCTTACCCATTCGTTTCCGTATTTTTCACATTATTCACCTTTTTTATTTTCTTGTGTCGGATTTGGTTTGGCGGGTTGATCAAAAATTTATGCATCTTTATTTAGAAGACCCGGCGTGCAGTCAACCAATCAGTGATGGAAATTAATTGTATCCAATCAGAAACCTGGGGGAAATTAGTTCAGTATAAAGTCGAAATAATCGGATCAAAAAAATCCAACAATGGCATCGAGTATCGAATTTGAAAAGATATATTCAAGCTTATTAACTTTTTTCCGAACTCGTACTAATAATAGAAATAAAAATATTAGTCATAATTATAGTAATAATAGAAAAAAGAAAATTAGTGCCGAGAAATTGACCGTGTTTTCTTATGGTGAGAATGAAAAATTGATAGTTTATTATTTGTCGCATAAAACTTTTGTAATATTTGAAAAATTCAAGATTTGATGGCTGTTACTTTGGGAATTCGGTATTTTTTTTTTTAGTTGCTAAATATTAGTTTCTTCGAGAATTTATTTTCTTTATTAATATGGGTGAACCTTTCTTTTCTCCGAATATTCAGAGTCGCGACATTAGTGGATATTGTGTTTCTTTCATTAGAAGAGACAATCGAGTTGATAAAATTATTAAAAAATGTAATAAATGAATTTTGATTCTCTAAACTTTATGAATGACTGATTAAATAACACCTAAAAATTAAGAACGTAAAAAACGACAGCGATTCTTCACGACCTTCATCATTACTATTTTCTTGTCTTTGTGCACTCCAATTCTCGGAAACTCACACTTTTATATGTAACAAAGTCCTCTTGACCGAGAAATTGGACAATGCCTTGCGAAATAATTTTCAAGGTGATATTTATTTTGTAGATGTCTTAAAGTCAAATGGTAAACCAAGACTGGCAAGTAAATTCATTTAATGAAAATTTTCAATAAATGCTATATTTTCACTATTTAATTTCCTCTTAATGATTATTGTTATAGCTACAAAATGCTCCAACTGCATTTCAAAATCTTCTTAAAACAGAAATACAACAGTTTTTACTCGATTCAGCACCTGAGGAAGACATTACCACCACTTCTACTACTACTACTACTACTACTAACACGAATACTAATACTAATAATCATACTAATAATAGTGTACTCTATATAAAAGAATCTATTGGTTGCATGATCACGATCACAGGATGGCTTCTCGAGTACCCAATTATTTACGTGCAAAATATCGAAGAGAGTATTAACGAGATGGAAAGTAATAATGAAGGGAATTGTTTGGGAAATGAAGAATTGAGATTGTGCCGAGTGTACTTGAGAAAACAAGGAGCTGATAAGAATCGGTAAATTTTTAATGTAGAAAATTTATCCATTGTTTCCTATGAACTTGAAGTTAAAATGAATTATTCTTCATAAAGGCAGATTTTGTTAAGTTTCTCTTTTCCAAAATCAATTCTTTCGACAACAGAAAAAGAAATTTTTGCACGCCTAAAATCCCTTTTCAATTCTCGACTTTTAGAGCAACAAAACGCTTTTTGGGAAAATGAATGTGAAGTCGAGGTTTCAGATGTTTGTTTGCCAGTTGTAGCGCTCTAAGGCTATCATATAATTAATAGTGATAATAAATAATGATACTTGCGCTTAAATTCTAAAATTTAAAGCAAAAAGGTGTAGTCATGATCTGAGAATCTGATAAATTCGTGAGACAAAAGTAGGGTTTGCTTCAAACCAATTAACAACCCTAGACAAAACATAGTCTTGGTTAACATGAAAGTTAGTATTTATCATCTAACGCTAATAGTTTAATATCTAAATTGTAGTAAAATCCCCCCCCCCCTTTTTCATAACAAAAATTTCCCGAGCACAAAGAACATTATAAATGATGATTACTGATACCTTTTATAGTATTGTATGTTCATAAAACTTTCACGTCCCAAATATAACCAGTTATCTCATAACACTCGTCTTGACTAGACAAATCGAATGGTATTATTTTTGTTTGAATCGGATCACTGGACATCAAGAATTAGATTATTGGATATTGAAATAACTGATTATATTTGGGACGTGAAAGTTTTATGAACATACAATACTATAAAAGGTATCATATCAGTAATCAGCTCGGAAAATTTTTGTCATTACATATGATCTACAGAAAGTTATGGAGGTAGGTTACTTCTGTAATTTTGAAAGAACTATAGGATAGATTCAATTCGTCAAACAATCGTACAATTGTTTGAAAAGCCCAATTTCTTGTTCACTATAGGAATTCATATTTAATACTATATATTATTATTTAAATCATTCGAATTATTTACTGCGAAAATTCGACTTTTACCAAAATTGAAATTATGGGGTTTTTTTGCCTTAAATTTGCAATTTATCTATTGTTATCCTAAATTTGGTACTATTTGGAGATTGGGCGTCTAACCATTTATAGGTCTCGTTAATTACATAATACCCAAACCAGATGCATTGGCTTGTGAATTTTTCGGAATATGATTTCTTTCACTGTTGACTCGCATTGCTAATCTCCTATATGCAGCCAGCAAGACTATGACAAGATTAGAGAGTTATTGTATAATGACTCGCATTGCTAATCGCCTATATGCAGAGTAAGTTATTGTATAATGACTCGCATTGCTAATCGCCTATATGCAGAAAGTTATGCATATGGCAAAATGAGGTATAGCGATATATTAAATACTATCGCGTACTTTTCGCTTATTTATTAGCAAATAGTTTTCCCATTTGAATTCTTTCGCGCGTTTATTCGAAGATTTTGTATATTTTAAAAGGTTTCTAGAAGTAAAATTCATCATTAGTCATTAGTTAGCTTGATTTTGAAAGTAATTGGGAAAAATAAATATTTATTATATTAGTTTATTATTTATTGCCCTTTTTTATAATACCGACAAAAAGACGCTTATTTTCCTTAATTATTGCTGCTTTATGCGATATATGCTATATGAGTTTATGTTGTGTTGTGTAAAGTAATAAATCTTTGAAACAATGATCGTAAAGAGCGAGATTTAGTGGTAAAAAATATATATATTTTCTTCTTCTTTTAGCTTATTTTTTTTTATATTAACAGATAAATACAAAAAAATATGTATAATGAATATCTATGCTATAATCTATAAATTAAAGAGTTACTATCAAAGTAACCAATGATTTTTAAAAATTCATAAAATTAATATAATATAGTATAGTATGCTGTAATTATGATGTAATTTTTAATATCTTTCTGAAGTCAGTTTAGAGAAAAGCCCACCAAGAATAACCAGAATTATTTGTTGATTCTTTTCCTACTCGCAAACTCTTTTTCTTGTTCTTTAATCTGAACGTGAATATCGATCTTTCTCCATTTTTCTCTGGCTTTTGTTTTGTTCCCGAAGCACAAGATGTCACTGCTGTTGTCGTGATGTTCGTTGTTGTTTTTCGATAGCCAAGCAATGACATTATGATTTTATGTGCAGTTGGTTCGTGTGGGTAGAAAAAGCTCGTGGGACATTCAAAAGCGATTGGATTTACCCATCGTTCGCCACCTCTCAGTTTCTGAATTGACGGGGGAGCAGTTTCGACCGTGTATGTGAATGAATAGGATACTTGTAAATGTGTTAAGCCATGTCCTATTCTATATACTTTACGTTGCCGTTCTTGTTGCCCGCATGATTTTACCGAGAATTTACAAGATCGTTGAAGGAAATTTGTAGGAATACTTGGTAGGATATTGCTTTGCAATGAAGTCGATGAAGATTTCGATTTCGATTTAAGAGTGTTTGATGACGAGACTTGGCGACATGATAATGAGATTTTATTGATTGTTGGGTTACGTAGTAAAGGAGAATGAAATAGTCTGAGGCTTGTCTGTTGCTTTGCCGGTTTAAATACTAGATTCCCTGTTTGCGTATTAACATGCGAAAATTTAAAATCCACGTTAAAACGCCATTTATGTTCTTGATCGAATCCTAAGTTAAGTCGTAAGTTTGGTTCGGCGAATCGCATCTCTAAAGCAACAGTTGCCATTTGATGAAAACGTTTTGAAACGTTGCAAACTGAGAGGAGGGAGATTAGATCGAGGTCCTGGAATATAAGCAAGAGAATTTCATTGGGAAAAGAGTTTAGTGTGGTCGTTGGGAACGACGTCATTTTTCCTGGTAGTTGAAAATTTTTTTGCTAGCTAAAGAAAAGTGCGGTTGTTTCTTTGCAACAATAATTTGGTGCTGTCAAAGAATTTTCTCGAGAGAAATTCCGATTCGATTAGGTCGATAGCGTATTTATCGAAAATCTTTGATAAAAAAGGCAAAGACAAGCCTTTAGATATGTGTGTACGTGTGTGTAGAGAGAAGAGAAGATAATAATTTTGATGATTGATTTTGTGAAAATGAGGAATAATGACGATGGGTCCTTTTATCTAATCTTCTGCAGATTGATTCGTTTTACCAGTTGCAATCGTTTTATATTGTTATCACTATATATATATATATATATTTGTATACTATTTTGAGGTTACTCGAAAATCCACTATTTATTATACTTGTTTTATTTGAGTGTTACCAAATAACGGGCAGCACAACATATCATTGAAAAAGAGTACACTTCTCTGGAATGACGAGTTATTCTTTATAAATAAATACATCATAATACATTTAGGTATATATTATGACGATAATGGTTAAACAATAAATTTGAATAATAACTATCCAATAACGATAATAATAGTAATTCCCAAATTCAGGTCTTTTTATGTTGTAATATGTGTTCAAATGATGTATATTTCTTTCGTTCGGGCACCGTTTTTTCTCTCTATTTGGGAGGAATATTGTGTGGCTTGAATGGCGGCCGAATGTTTCATTGTTGGTCCATGTACCAATTCATCCGATTCATCACAATAGGTAAAATGCGGGGGTGTTATTTTTTGCCTTGTATTTTGTGTGTGTGCGAAAATTAAGCTTGCGCTCCTTAAGGGAATAAAGTTTATTGTTGGTTTACTTTTTTTATACTGTTTGGTCTCGTTTAGCTTCATTGATGAAACTGAATAAAATCTGGATTTTTTGTTTGAAGATTTTCGATTCTTATGCACTTGAATTAATGAATTCACATTTTGAAAAAAAAATCATCATGACGAAAAAGAGAAAAACGCCAAGTAATATTTTCAGGTGCACAAAGTACTCGAAATTATAAGGATCATGAGTCAGTGTCCTACACAACTATATCATACCATAAAACGATATACAGTACTCCCAAAAAGTAACGCCCTATTTAAAATTATATAGTAAAAAATTTCTTGCTGATTTTATAATTAAAATGATATAAATTTACGTTTTTTGTTTTATCGTTATTATATAATTTTGGACTTTTTGGGGATACATCCAATTTACATATACATCTTTTGCCAAATACAATAGTGATGTTCAAAATACGGAATTCTATGTCCACATAACGTACGTTACAACATTCCTTCGTGTCCACATTTAAGAAAAAAGATGGCTGATGACTGCATATAGAGAAAAAAAAACCGGTATTGGTCTTATGTGCGCCACCACCTTTAGAAATCTATTCTAATGTTTCGATGAAAAACACGTTTTACATGAATGCATTGTTCGTTCTTGTTTGCCGATCATTGCTCAGAGTACAGGTGTTTGTTATTTTTAACCAGCACACCCACGATTTTCTCAGCCACAACAATAACCCAAAACGTTCTGCAAGGTTAAAAAGTTCCGGTCACGTGATTCAGATCCCCCTTAAAATCATGCATAATACTAAATACTAAATAGAGTTTCAGTTAGGGTTGGGTTCAAGGCTAGAACACAAATGATTGTTTCAAAAGTAAGCGTTTGTTTTTAATTTTTGGCGTTACACATTGATCTTGCGATTTGATTGGTGCATGCTTTTAAGGTGGTCGGAATCACGTGACCGAAACTTAAAATCAACGTGCAACACAAAAATTCAAACAAATGCTTGTTTTTGAAAAATAGCTTGTATCTTAAAACTTTGCCTATGAAACTATCTTTTGTGCTTTAATAAAAAAATGTTCCTTCCAAAATTTTACTATATTTCACATTTTCGTTTGCTATACGATAACCCTAACTCTAAACATTATACATTATAATTTTAAGGGGATATCGGATGGTCGGCATCGGAGATCACGGGATCTGAAAATTTTTTTGCCACCACTTTTCTACTATTTATATTATAATGATTTACTTTTTTTGTAGTATGTATGCATGCATACATACATGCAATAGCGATGATTTGGTTCAAGTCAAGTCTGTAGTCCAACCCGGTCTTGGACTACTTTGCTATACATAGTCCGGTTTTGTAAAATTAGGATCAGTCTAGATTATTTACATGAAATGGAATACGCAATCAAAATTTTTATCTTCGTCAATATCAGCCTAAACAAAATAAAAAGTACTCGTTTTGAACCAATTTTATGAAACTGGGTAATTTAAATCAAAATTTTCAATTAGTAAATTTCTCACATTGAAGAACTTTTTTTCTATGACGGATTCAAATTTGGACCACTAATTAAACATGGTATACTCTACAAAATCCGCCTGGGTACCAATCTTCACAAAAACTGGCTCCAAATTTATCGAGATTTAGGATCCCGAAGGTTCGAATCTCTGCTAGGAACATCAATTCGACTATTTATTTCCTATATAGCAGAGACTCGAACCTTCGGGATCCTAATCTCGATAAATTTGGAGCCAGTTTTTGTGAAGATTGGTACCCAGGCGGATTTTGTAGAGTATACCATGTTTAATTAGTGGTCCAAATTTGAATCCGTCATAGAAAAAAAGTTCTTCAATGTGAGAAATTTACTAATTGAAAATTTTGATTTAAATTACCCAGTTTCATAAAATTGGTTCAAAACGAGTACTTTTTATTTTGTTTAGGCTGATATTGACGAAGATAAAAATTTTGATTGCGTATTCCATTTCTTGTATATGAATTATAGTCCGGTCTTGTACAATTAGAACCGATCCAGACCGGTCTGGATTGTTATATATACAACTCATTTTTGGAATTCAAAAATCCACCATATATATCGAGTTCATTATAGGTTGTTTTGAACTCAAATTCAAGAGTTAAATCAGTCTTCAATATATCGAGAGTCCACTATAACGAGAGAGACTTCAATCGAGAACATGATAAGCACTGCTATTTAATAGTATAATTGACCTGGTATAGTAGAAATCAGACTTTGAAAGATGTGTTCTTGGTCGATAACAAAAAATCGACTTAACGACTGTAAACAAAACTATCAGCCAAAGTCGATTAGTCGATTTCTGGTATAACACTCTATATTTAATGATATCAAGTCGATTTTTCGTTGATTTTTAGTACAATAATAATAACGAAAATTATAAATTAATAACCGCGTTCTTTATTAATAACATCTACATATTAGCTTCCTTTTAGATACGTTGTTCTAAAATCAGCTGACTAGGCTGAAAAATCGACTTTGGTCGATTTTTTGATATATATCAGCCAGAATCACTAATCCAGAACTGCAATCCGGTCCGGTTATGAGAATCAAAAAAGACTGGACCGGACCAAATTATCACCACTATGTGAAGCATATGAGATTACTATTTCAGAGCACTACCTATAACAATAACACCCTCTACTGCCACTTCAAAGCCATTAATTACACTATGCAATAAAGTAAATCTTTTTTGGTTGGTAAAATAAAAAGGGTTAGGTATGGATTCAGAACATATCTATCAATCATTATACCATTTACTTTAGTGAATTTGGTCACCGGATTTTACTGAGTGGTGTAAGACTCGGTCAGATTACGCTATTAACTTTATTGAATTGGGTTATTGGGCTCTTTCATTACATAAAAAATCTTGCTTTTGTATGTATGTAGTTATACGGTCACACACAGTCCAAAAAAATTATTACCCTGATCAGGACCCCAAACATCCTAATATCCCAATTAAATACTTTATAACATAAAAAACCCAATTTTAACTTATACTCAAATCCTAACTATGACCTATCATCCGAAATGTGTGTCAGTTCGATGGCGCAGTCATAGCAATTACCCAAAGGTTGATAATTATAGAATTAAAAAAGGTTAGAGGAAGAGTAAGACTATATGTAAAATTGCCTCACCGATATTTTTTATTAATACTCCAAGTTAGATTTGAACATTCATTTCTGTCTTTATTTTTCGCGTCGGATCGTTGATCTGTGCTGTGCCCCCATTCTTAAAATTATGAACAATTGCAATTATAGTTGTAATTTTTCCGAAATATCGTTATATGTCCTAATGTAGTTAGCAAAAGTCACACAAATCGTCACCAATGTACATTGAAAATCCGGAGTCGTGAGAAATTCAAGATATTCCCCCTCGTTAGTAAGATCCTTTTCTAATGTTACATAATGAATGGCATTGTTATCTTATCAAATTAGATGGATCCACAATCGAAAGAATCATATCAATTAAGATAACCTTAAAATAAATGAATTAGGCTAAAGATTTATATAAACTTGTAATACGTAGGAGGGCAGAAATGCAAAAGCTGTAATATTTGCTTTTTTTCAATGGAAGAAACAATCATGTTTTCACATTCGATTGTTGCTTTCGCCATTTTGACCCTTACAAAATGGATAACTGTCGGTTTTTTCGTGACCACATCATAATTAATTCTACTTACGTAACGGATGTACGATTTTTTTTCTCACACACGTTATTTGTTATTTAGTAGTTATTTGCTGATTAATCGTTATTTATAGTTTGTTATGCTCTCCGCGTTGAGTTCAGTTTCCTTTTCAAGGTTTTTCTGAAAGGACGAATCATCTCATTGATGTCAAATACGTGGGAACTATGAAACGATTTAAATGTATAGCTGTTTTGTGTGTCATTGTCTTTTTGAAATTGTGAATCTTTCGCAGTTGATCATAAACGCATAGAGATTAGTTTTTTTACGTAAAAGAAAGGATCTTTTTTTCAAGCGTAAATGTTATTCCACTTTCGATATGCACAATGACAATGTAGCGGCAGCGGCGGGAGAAACATCAATGAAAAAAAGATGGTGCATAGATAAAATTAAAGGAGAGTAATCTTGGATTTCAATCTACATGCACATTTTATTACGTCGAGACAAAATGAAAGGCTTTTTAATTCTCCGATTATTCATTTGTTATTTTTTCTCACCACGATCTCTTTCTTGTCTTTCTTGTTACGATCATTACTTAATCACTTACAATACGATTTACAATAGGCTTTATAAAAAAAAGTACCCCGAAAAGGAAAAATGCGGAGGTCCCACATGTAAATGTCAGTTTATGTATATAATATACCATAGCTACTTTATTGTTCATTTAACGTATCGATCTGATTAGAAGAAACTCGTGTATTACATGTCTTTATTAATGTATGTATGTTAAAAGAAAACGGGTGATTATTATCAATTAAAAGATTATCAGAAATGAAAACATTATCACGATGTAATCACGACGTAAAACACATTTCCTCCGCAAATAATCCAGTCATAGTGATTAAATGGGAGTGTTACCAATATATGCATGATGAATCATTATTGATTTGTCAAATGATGTTAATGTCAATGTACGATAATCTGATAAAGTTCAGCATTTTCAGTGGTTTATCTTGTAATTAATGAACTAGCATTCGACAAACAACGAACATTTGTATATATCATTGTTCTAACCGATCTGCAATATCTTGGCGTTTTGGAGTTTGGACATATATGCTTTTATTAATGACATCGAGAGCGAGCCGAAGCCTTTTTTTATTCGTTCTCAACTTAATAATGAGTTCGTGAATAAAGTACTTTTAAATATTCTTCGTAAAAGTCGAACAATAAAACATGACTTTGGCAATCTAGCAATACATCTAATGATATGTGATTATCTTTGCATGCTAAACTGATGAAGGATCGAGAAATTACAAGCCAAAGTTTATTAATTAAATTAATATTTTATTTTTCTTCATCCTTAATCACTAATTCTCTGAACGATTGCTCACAGTTCTCGAAAGAGGTCTTTCCCTCGTCATCTTGCAGTGTAGTGTTTGCCCCATGCCGATAAAGATACCTGGCAACTTCTAACTGTTCGGAAAGACATGCTAAAAATATAATTATTGTTAGTATAGGAAAAAAAATTACCGCTCAAGATTTGCAAAAAAAAAAAAATGGAGATATACCGTAATGTAAAGGCGTCTCTTGCTCATTTGTCTGCAAAAAATATTCAATTAGAATTTTCCAAAAGAAAGCTCATTAACTCGCTTGTTAATCTAAAAGCAAAAAAATTTTTTTACCAGGGCATTGATGCCCGCCCCTCTTTCTATCAACAATTCTACGACTTTTAGTTGACCGCTATCACTTGCCCAATGTAATGCTGTTAATCCCTGATCAATAGCGGAAACCAATTAATATTTTTATTAGTAGCATTATTAGTAGCAATAAAGTTTATTTCTCTTACTTGTTTATCTTTCGCGTTTATATCTACTACCGTGGAGTCTAATAATTTAATTATGTCCGAAATCTTGCCTTCCTTAGCAAAACTAAAAATATTCGGTCTATGATTTTGGATAATTCATGGTTAACAAGGTTTCCACGTCGTCTCTGATGCAAATCGAAATTAATTACACACTCCAAAACTTTTTCCTCCTCTCCATCTTCAACGTGGGATAAAGTAGATACGGCGAATCCTCGTGAGTCTTGATTTATCTAAATAGGTGCGTTACAGTGCTTGAGATTTTTTTTGATCTATTGAATTTTAACAAACAAGAATAAATACCTGATCATTTTCATCATTTTCATCATCAACATAGTCAGAATCCTCGCTATCATTTTCGCCTGCTCGTCGCCAACCTACATTTGCATTCTCTACCACCTCAATGTATCGTAACATGGCTTCTTTTTGGCTCATGTTCCCGGTTGATTTCCATGCATCCCATTTCGCTCGTCCCACAAAATCAAATAAAGATGGTTTCGGCGTATTGCATGGGCCAATCGTGGCAGTTTTATAATAGGCATAAAGCTATACTTTGCACTGTTAAAAAATGTGCCCAACCAAAAATCATCGATTTCTACGAATCACATTCAATACCTTTAATTTTATGTCATCTGACAGTTTTATCAATGAATCACTGCTAATAAAATCAAATGCTGACACGAAATGTACCGAAAGGATTTCATTATCAGACATTCTTGTATGATTATAAGCGCTATTCTTGATAGTGAAAAGTTCACATGCACCTAACAATGATCGCGTGTGATTAATTACAAGCACGCGAGAATTTCTGATCATCCAGTTACATATTGATATCCAATTTCAGACTTTAAAACTTGATGTTCAAATTTTATTCTTGTAAAGAAAATTATCTCTAAGGATTCGAAGAAACCCTGTTGAAAATGACTGACATATTTACTGCGAAAACCGCTGTCGAACTCGGCTTATCAGCTGGAATACTAATAGGCTTTAAAACCTATATGCCTGAACCATTCCCGTTTGTGGTGATAATAATAGTAGTGGCATGGTTCAAATATCTGTATATCGACCGTGAAACACGTATTTACCAATTTAATTTATTGAAAGCTTGTCGGATTCTGTTAGATGTTATGCAGAAAATTAACAGTTTAAACGTTAAAAAATCTCGACCGATATTATTTCTATAAAGCCAAGCAACCCGTGTTAAATCCAAATGAGTGGAAAAAATTCCCGTTGATAGAGAAACATAAAGTCAGTCCTAATGTTGCTTTGTGAGTAATGTTTACACACAATTTTTCCGATTTTGTTAATTTATGCTGTTCGAATAATTTGCAAAGGATTGATGATGTCTCATTTTAGATATCGGTTTGCACTTCCGAATCAAGATGATACGCTTGGACTACCTGTTGGACAGGTACTGAACATATGAATCGATAAAATGTTTCTTTTTTAATAGAATATCGCGCTAATATACTTTATAGCATATTTCTGTGCAAGCGGATATTGGTGGAAAATTAGTGCAACGAAGCTATACGCCAACTAGCAGTGACGATAATCTAGGATTCTTTGATTTATTAATTAAGGTGAATTTTTTGACAATTGTTAAATTTATCGATTCGAAGTTTTGTATTGATTCGATTCTCTTTACAGACATATCCAAACGGTCTAGTGTCAAAATATGTTGATCTCTTGGAGATCAATCAAACACTTACTGTCAAAGGGCCAAAGGGACAATTCATATATAAAGCGGGACTGGTCAGGGCATTTGGAATGATTGCAGGTTTGAGTCAAATTATTGTGGTTATTGTCATGGATTTTATTAGAGGATTATTCTTTAATTTAAATACGATTGTTTTGTTGTCAATAGGTGGTACTGGCATAACACCTATGATTCAGGTATTTCCTATTTTAATAGACTTTTTGTTTCTTATAGGTGTAAGTTTTTATTTGACATATTGAATGATATTTGTCAGATAATTCGGGAAATCTTAAAACATCCCGAAGACAAAACCTTAGTCAACTTAATTTTCGCCAATGTGAATTTCGATGATATTTTATTAAAAGATGAGTTAGATCAACTTGCAGAACACAATGAAAATTTCAAGGTTTACTATGTGCTAAATAATGTAAGCCGAGAGTTAAATTATCTAATTGATTGTATAGATGGGCATAATAATGATTTTATTTTTAATGATAGCCACCAGAAGGATGGACCGGTGGTTGCGGATTCGTCTCAGCCGAAATGATCAAAGAACATTGTCCTCCGCCAGCCAGTGACATCAAAATCTTGCTTTGTGGTCCTAGTCCGATGATAACAGCAATGACGAAGATAACTGATTCGTTGGGCTATGAAAAACCACGTGGAATATCGAAACTCGAGGTAAAAAATCAGTATGGATCTAGTAGAATATATTTCGGTCACCATATTTCTGATCTATTGTTTCTTGCTGCTTCTTTTTTAATAGGATCAAGTGTTTAAGTTTTGATTTAGCTATTGCGTTTTCATTCATCTGCATCCCGGAGGAAAGAATCCAAGTCGCAAGAATTGAAGGATTTTTAGTTGCGCTTTTTGAGTTCGATATATATATTAATAATTTTTTTTTTACTTGTATACAAATACGATTCGATGGAATTTTGCATTCCTTTCGTCGATCGAATAATTATATATAATATCGATATGAATTGGTTATTTACTATAACCTGTTTCTGGAAACAACTTATATTTGGTTAATGCTTCTGTTTGACTTGTGTTACTTCAAAAAAAATCACCGAATGACTGATTGATATTCTCAATTTTCTTGGAGAAGGAAGGGCATTTTATGCGAAAACCAACAATGCAACTTCCTTATTTGTGTTAGTATTCCCGAATACTATTTGCATATAAAACGGAGCAAAGATCCGTCGTTCATCGTTATATGACGCATCAACATATATGTTGTGGCTAACTTGCATTCATTTTTAGACATTAAATTTTTATTCCTACTTTCTTTTTAACATAATTTACTACAGACTGCTGTCCTCCCTTAACTCTCTCTCTTTTCTAAAAGTCTCTCCCGCTCTCTCGTAATGTCGTTATATTCGAAATCAACCGGTCCAGTATACAATACCAATAGTAGCAGCCCAACAAGCAATCACAGTAATAGCAACCATAATCTACCCAAGAGTTCGTATGAGCCGCCGCGTAGCAGCAATAATCATAGTAGTAGTAGTAGCGGAAGTAGCAGACAAGCGTCAACTGGTTCGTCCTATTCGTTTTCTTCGTCCTCAGAAAAGATGAATACCCGACTCGCACCAAAGAAAGTAAGTATCGCTCTGGCTGTCCTTTCGCCCGCTTGTTTCTTGGCTACGGCTGCATTACAACAACTACAAGTGGTGGAAAACTCGGTGTTGCCGTTTCTGTACAACTTTTTCCTGAGAAAGGATATACCGTTCGTGATGACCGGTGTAATGTTCTTTTGGGTATATGTGCTTACGGCGTCGCTTAGTGTTGTGGCTCAAGCTGCTGGGTTGAGGAATGGGTATGATAATAACGTAGGTTCATTCATGCCCTGAACTATTAATTGATGCCATTGGTTCGATTCGTTTGGTGAATGAAATTTGACGATAATTTTTGCGCTTTATTCCTACAAGGAACCTAGGCATTACAAGCCATCAGTACGAGGAGCCTTCGGAAGGATGATTGCGGCACATCAAGTTGCTTTAGAAAGTGTTCCTGGTATGGTATCCTATAGGCTATGTTTGAGTGCTTGTATATGTCCGATTATTTGTTCTATATGATTCGAAGTTAATCTGCAGTCTATTTTGAAATTATTCGGGAATTATGGAACAAAATAAACAGCCTTTTTTGCCGTGGTTATTATCGCTTCGGCTAAACAAGTCCCATTAGAATACAGGATAGAGTTTGTATTTTTTACTGATTTGAAATATCGTTAAAGTGACGCTAACTAAACTCGCATATTAACAATTATTATTGGCATTGGTAAATTTCAGTTTTTCCATCCTCTATACCTTCCTGCGCATCATACACACTCCATTATACATACTGAATTTTGATATTGCACGAGCAATCACACACATGATGGCAACTTCGTGTGTCGCGTGGCTTTTCGCATTTGCGCTCATACCTGGTTTCGAAAGGAACTACTATTCGTTTATAATGGATGTTGTGAGATTGCAGCGCGGAGTGTCGAGTGGTGGGTTTTGGGGAATTGATTAATATACAAACCATATATTTATTTAATTGTATTATACATGCACTCGTCGATGGTGACGGTAACTCGAGTTTCTCATCATGGGAGGTGTATCCTTATAATTATCCCTATTTTTGATTTTTGGTTGGGAAGGTGATTATTTATACCGAGCAATGAAAGATTGTGGCGGGGGATACAAAAAATTCATCATCCCGATGAAAAATTTGTCACCCACGCGAGGGTCTGAGAAAATAGCCCATTTAGCAAAATAGAATATTTTACCATTATTAGAATATTAACTTAAGTGTTATTATTTGTAATTATTTTTTTGTATAGCTTTTTCTTTCTATTTTGTTTGCTTTTTTAAAAATCGAGTGGAGGGTGTTTTTATATGTATTTATTATTTATTGTTACTGATGCGTCTTAGATAGACGATCTTAATTAATGTAATTCAAATTTTTATATCCATCGTATTTAACATACACATGTAAGTAACATTGTATTTTAAATAATATCTAACGCAATCAAAAATTTACACCATGAATATATGCTCGAGAGAGATTCATTCCAACGTCTAAAATGTAACCGTTTATTCATCAATACGGATGAAAATTCTCATTATAGTAATGCTTTTTTTCATCATCTGTGGCAGTGATTTGCTTCTTGTTATTGTTAATAATTTGAAAGTGCGCTTATATCGCGTGTTCTCTTGCTATTTTCCATTACACATGGCTCATGATGATAGAAAATACAAATTGACTTGCTTTCTGGTGTTGAATTAAAACATAATATATAAAGGATGGCCTTATCCAACCCCCGTCTGTAAATTCACAATACCTTGTTTCAATAATATTGTTTCCTTCCAATTTGAACTTATTCACACAGACTAAACGTACGGTTTCTCTTCCTTCAAATTCTCGACTAATTTAATCTTTTCTAGAAAGCATTTGAATACCTGCATACTAAATTTTCGCGAACAAAACTATTTATTATCCTATCCTGACGCCCTAATGATCTTGGCGATATTATAAACAAATTCGATCTTTGTACTGCACTGAATCTTTTCACAGTTTCACCAAAAAAATGACGCGGAATCCTCACAGTCATCTTTACTATTAGGATCGCGTGCTCATCTTTTTGTTTTATTGCGTGATGACTTGGTCCATTAATTTCGATCCTAGATCACGTGGAATTCGATTCATTCACATTGTTTATTACTTATTATCATCATGAATTCGTTATTCATCTAACGAACAAGCTCTAGTTACGAATGATCAAGTTTATTGTATAATCGCGCGAAGCTCAACTAGTGAAATAAGTTAGAAATATTATAAACTAATGTATGGGTTTCAAAAAGTCGAGAAATCACGTGGTGTTAAAGACACATCGGGTTCGCTTCATCGTAACGACTATTTCAAAATTTTATTAATTTTTTGTTAAGCGCTAAAATACTAGATCAATTAAAAACATAATCAATTCACTCAATGTCGCAAAGCACTCTTGCCAAATTTTTCCTCAATTCTTCTCTTCACATGCAAATAAAAAGCTTCAAATATATTCCTTTCGTTTCCACTCGTCCACGACATTGTCATCTTAGTAATTGAACCATTAACATTATTATCGCTCCGTGCTTCCGTTTGCTCCAAATGATACTGAAATTCGAACAATGGTTCACTATCAAGTTCCATATTTATTTTCTCTTGTTGCTGCCGCTGCTGTTGTGATTGTTGTGCTTTTTCTCTTTCTCGTTGTCGTCTTGCTGCGCGTGACCACGTATTAGTAGATGCATTCCCAGTAAATGTATTTGTTGCCGTGTTCCAAGTTCCTCTGATTTCGAGCGTTCTAAGTAGCGTATCCAGGTATTCAAAGAGACTATTGATCTCTATAGTCCACTGCGTAGTAAACTCTGTCATTGAAGGCCCTGCTTTACGAAGGCTTTTTGACGAAGGTTGAGAGATGTTCTGGGTGTAAATAACCGAGGATAATTAATATAAAAGTCATATTTCTTTCCCTTATCCATTATCATTTCACTCATCGATTTATGGTTAAAGTCAATTAGTTGACCTCTAAGAAAAAACTCTTACTGATGGAGGCCGATGAATCCCAAATGACCAACCAATTCCCCATCGTCTTGTTTGTCCTTGACAAAATTCCGTCAAAACATAATTATCAATCTAGTAGTGTTGGGAATGAGTCAGTGGTGAATAGGAATATGGTTTGTGATTGGATATAATAATAGAGAAATCCATATATAATCGATACTTTGTTCTTCTTTAATTCTGATACAATTTTATTGACAGTTTCTTTTCGTCCAATCATCGATGTATACCAACTATCATGTTACACACAAATAATCTTTGTTAGAAAAGTATATTTCAAATATCAAGGACAAGAGTTGTTGATATACCTGAATCTCTCTCTTAAAACTAAACTTTGATCAACGATCTGCTTAATAAATCCCAATTCTCCTCCGTTTGTAAAAATTTCTTCAGGTGAACCTGTGGAAGTCTGTTTAATTTATAAAGGATACATTTATTATTTTTAAGCCAGCAATTAAGCAGTAATTATAAATCCTGACCGCAAAAGGTTGACTCTTTTTAAACATTACTCCCGCTTCATATTGTTCTTGATTTTCATAAAATGGTGGATTGCACATGCAAAAAGAGAATCTAACATGCGGAGAATGTTTTGTCAGCCCATTAGTTCATTTTAAAAAAAAATTTATAGTAATATACGTATACCGTTGAATATCTAAGTTTTTAGTCTCGTCATCGTCATCAAGCAAAAGTTTTGATTCGTTTGATTTCAGTATGATTGTTATTCGATCTTGGAGATTATTTCGTTCAACATTCGCCTTGGCAAGTTTTACCATTTTTTCGCTTATGTCTTGATACATAATAATTAATTTATAATATCACGTAAAAACATTCGCTGTACTACTACTAACCAGTAGCCACAAATTTCCAATTTTTGTTAAGAGTGCAACCCAGTAATGGATATATGCAAGATGTCCCGGTACCTCTAACAACGAATGAGCGTTAATATTATTAATTGTTAGCAAATAGAGTTTTAGATAATAAATATCACTTACATGTCAAATCCATATACTTCCCCATGATCATCATCACCAGTATAAGAAATCAAATCTTCCAACCAGTGAATATAATTCAGTCTATTCTCAAATAAAAATGAACATTTGTTCAATGATTTAGATCAACAGAACAAGATCTTGAAATATCTTTTAACCTGTTTGGAATCTAAAAAGATATCCCATATCAGTCAGTTGTAATTAAAAAAATATAATTTCAATAGGATTGATTCGTGATTTTTAGTAATATTTATACCATCGGACACAAGGTATCCAACGGGATATCAAGCTCAAGACCAAAGTCATGTTGTAGAAGGGTATATGTAAGTTTTCTGCACAGAATTAACACATTGACATGATACTCTTTACCCTTTAATCAAAATCAAAAGCAAAATAATTATGAACCAACAAACACTTACTGTACAGCGAGTGGATCTTTAAAATCAATATACGCTTCTCCATTTATATTATACTTTACACTATAAAACACAAAAATCAAATTTATTTGTTACAAACTTTGATAACCACATTTGAAGATAATGAGTTATTCGATTAATCATACAATGGATAAAAAGACGTGTATTTATAAGCAAGCACATTAAAGTCAGGAGGATTGTTCTTGTATCTGTTTCGTGGATGCATTTATCCGTCTTTGAAAGTATTGCAAAAATCGCAGAAGAAATCATGAAAATCACCAGCATTGTGATTCGAGCAAGGTAGTGAATTAAGAATCAAGTCAACTCGGATAATCTTATAATTATCCGGATTGACTTAATACACATGACCTATATCTGTAACACATTCAATGATTGGCTGAATTCTGCATAACACCATCGCTATCTTTGTGGTTTGGGACAAAAGAAGCGCTGAATATTCACTAGCAACACCACCGTCATGAAATCAAATTGGAAACTGATCGCAACCTGGAGAAATTCGTAACACTAGCGAAACGAAAATGGCGGCCAAACTCACTCCTAACAACTTACGCGACCGGTTTCCAGTTTGGTTTCGTACCGAGTTTCCTGAATGTGAGTATTTGGCGTTTCTTTCATTGTTGGGTGTCTAGTTTCTTCATTTCGTTTGTGTAGCTCGCCCACGATCGATTTTCCAAGCCACAACAATTACCCAAAACATTTCGCACTATTTAAAAGTTAGGGTTAGAGTTGAAGATTGTACGTAAATTTATTGCTAAAGTTAGGTTTAAGCATCTATTTCATTTTCTTGTGCGAATTTGTTTTCTGGGTTGATCGAAAATTTGCGCATCCTCATTGGTTTCGAAATCGTTAGGGATCGGAAAAATCACGTGAAGGGAGAATCGATCGTGAATAAGCTGGAGTAATTAATAAATGGGTACCCACTGGGTTGTGGCTAATTATATGGTACAGGAAGTTTAAACTTGACAATAATGTGAATTATTTCAATTTTCTGTTGGTGATCTAGTCATGTTTTTTATTCAACCAATAAAAAAATTACATTTTGATCATGTGAAAAGACAAAAAGGAAATTATTGTTATTATTTTTGTAAAAAAATAAAAAAAATAGAATTAAAAAGAATATTCTTGATTTTAATATGTAATTAAAATGTCATTGTGACTAATTTTATATGACTGTGCTTTTCATTCATGTATTTATTATATTAAATCAATAACATTATTAATCATTTCATGATAAATACTTGCTTAATAATGAAGAAATATTTAAATTATAAACTATTATATTATAGTTTATCTTACTAATCTATTAACAAGAAAAATTTATCATCTATATAAAGGATAATGAAGTTATATTATTATGTAGTAAATTAATATTGTCATCACTTTCAGAGTCATTTCCTATGATGATATTTCTGAAATATGGTGAATGACTGTGTTCAATTGAAAGGTCGGACTACTGAACTATCAAAACTTATAATTTAAATATCAAATATTAAAATAACGGGGTTGGACATAATTTTTAACAAGAAACTTTAATGAAATAAATACGATAACTATCAAAACTTTCCTGAAGTACCGATCAATGATAGTTATATAAAAATGCAAATATAATAAAATAAATATAAATGTTGCTTCTCTTTAGGCCAGCAACACGAAAATCAAAATAACATGATGCCTTCCTGACATCTCTCAAAAATCTTAAAAATAATAATGCAAATAATAAATAATAAATAATGCAAATAATAAATACAAATATTATATGAATAATAAATAAAATATGAGTAATAGTTTCTTGTTAAGATGACATAATTAAAAGGTCAAAGTAATATAAGTTACAACTAATTTTTATTATTAAAAGACATTTTGTAAAGTAATATTTGATCTTGATAACTTGATGATGATTCTAAGCTAAAATACATGCTGCTTATATATCTA